ATATATATATATATACGTACGTACATATATATATATATATATATGCTATATATATATATGTTCATACCGAATCATACCTGTACATATTGTACATCATATGTTGCCTCTGCTCAGCTAGATTTGTTGGCCTTGAGGCTTTGGGTTTAGTTCTAGGTGTAGGGCATCAGGTAAATCAGGGTTAGGACTTAAATTGGGGTGGTTAAGGCTTCTTCATGGTCAGGGATGCCGGCTACTACTTCCTCCTGCTCTGCATCAGTGTAACAGGGGTTGCTACAGGATCCCACGGTACCACACCGAATTGGGATGGCAGGATGGTGCCCAAAAACACACCAGATAGTGCTAATAGCATCGTACTCCCAGTTGTTAAGAATGTTAGTCTGCTAGCTGCTAGTGTCTGCTTGATGGCTTTTGTCTGATGAACCCGAAGCCAATCAAATCCTAAACCACCTCAGTCGTGATGCCCGATCTCCTCGTCTTAGGCCTAGGATGTTCATGGTAAGAACAACAAGAACAGAGTGAATCGCAGTCATACGAACAATGGCAAGAGCGGTAGCCATGCTATCCGAGTACATGTGGATACCAAATAGTTCAGACATCATAACGACAGGGAGTGGTGCCGCCACCATGACATATAACAAAACAGCCCATCCGTTGTGTCGACGATGGAGGTCGCGTCGGAATTCGTAGGAGCTGGGCATTTCATGCCCGCTGACCTTCGAGCCGAAAGCTGTTCTGAGCCCCCGAAATCCCTGCGATACGATGTCAGCATAGCTAGAAATGTGGTACCCTTGTTATCTTTATCTTTTTGTACTATCATAATGTACTCTAAAACCCTATATTCAAGTTGTTGGCCCCTAAAGTAGACTCGCGTAAGTGTGGAGTTTTGGGATTGCGGGCCCTGGGGCTTTTGGTTGACCTTATAACAGACCAGCCTTTTCATTTTTCTTGGTCTAAGAGCATTTGGTGGTCTGCATTGCTCCACACGTCTGCATTACGATCGGAACTCGTCTGGGTCCTTGGCGCATCGTAAGGTTTCAGGTACTGAGACTGTGAAACTTCTAGCGTTCTAGCGCATGCTACGGTGTTTTACTTGTTTGTCTTGGTGTTTGTTTCAAGGGTTTGGCTTCCAACTGAAGGATACTACATGCGCAGTGGCTGCTGCAATTGGCTCTGAGTGCGTAGCCTTAACATAGGCTCTGCTACCGGATCGTGCATTCATGTTTCATGTTATGGAGAGACCTCACTACGCCACTGTTACAAGATAGGCATCAGGGTTGATGTAAGACCGAGGTCGGAATAATTAGCAATAGAATCCCCTCACAGTCTTCAGTATAGTTATACTATATTCACCCCCCAATCCCTATTCTGGTTGCTTCAAGCCCCTATAGTAGGACCCTGAACTAGCAGAAATCTGGCTCGTGTTGCTGCTTCGGCATCGACCAATGCACAAGCGCGACACTTCCGGCTGTGTGGCGAAGTTTGATACCAGCCGAAAAGTGAATTTCGAGCATTAGGGTGGTCGCTGACTTTATAGAGCCTAATTACCCTAAATCCTAAACCCTGTAAGCGAAACCCCTGGCAACCCAAAACTTGAAACCCTAAACCTGTTAAAGAAAACCGCCAGACCCGAAGCCCTAAACCCGAATGTTACAGTCTCCGTACTTTATGAACGCTTTACGGCACCTCTCACAAGCCTCCAAAGACCCAGGCTTCTCCAACTTCGCAGCTCCAAGACTCAAGCTCTGAAACCCAAAAGGCCCCCTATCCAACCCAGAGTACGAATTTTCAAGAGAACTCAATGAATATAGGGGCCTTGTAACATTAGCAATTACTTATACTAGTTTGGAGGTTCCTTACTATAAGCCTACAAGTGAATAATGGAACGGTAAACGCAACCCCTATAAGCCTGTGCGATACCCCCACCCTGCCAGCCTTGAAAAAGCACCACTGAAGCCCTGACGCACTTAGGTATGCATCTGCCTATGGCGCGGCAAAGGCCGCTGAGAAGTTGACAGTTTGCCATTCGGTGTTTTGGTGTTGCAGTCAAGGACATCATAGGTGTTGAGCCTATAGCTGCACTGCGTGGTGCTCTAGGGTTGGCAGCTGCCTAGGGCCTAGGACTTTAGGATTCGAGGTCCTTGATGCTTGGAGTTCCATGAAAAGTGCTAGATGTTTCTTGACGAGGCCGACCTAGTGGAATCCCTGGTGAACGAGATGTTTACCGAGATCCCGATCGCCCGGGCCCTACCAAAGGGGAACTCTCAGTTTCGGATACGTTTCGGTGGGTTGGTGTTTGGGGCCTCTCAACGTTTGTGTCCAGCTGCGAAAGAAACCCCACGGCGAACGTTCCAAAACACGGGGTTTGTGTGCATTCTTGCTATCCTGCATAAACTAGAACAGAAGAGTCCCGAAACAGAAGTTCGTCTGAGGTAAATGAGTTTCAGAGTTTGGGGCTTGGGCGTTGGTGAGTCTGTGTTGGAGGGCCTGAACTGCCAACCTTCAGCACGGCATCCTGACTTCCAAACCTACGGCCCCAAGCCCTCGAAGCCTCCCAATAGTCCTCAACAGTAGCGGGCTTCATAGTCTTGTTGTCAAGGGCTTCTACGAGGGTTCCGTAGTGGTTCAACACGAATCCCAAATATTTCACTCCAGGGTCAGAGCACCACCAGAATCGAGGTAGTCACCGCCTCGCCCCTGGCAGAGTGCTTCCTGCTGGCAGCTCGGCGCCACGAAACCAAGCACAGCGCTGCAGCTAAGACCCCTAGGCTTCGAAGGTCCAAAGTTTGAGAAGCTTCCGGTTTCGGATTTCGGGCCTGAGGATGTAGTACCAGTACTAGTACTAGTACTAGTACTGGTACTGGTACTAGTACTAGTACTAGAACTAGTACTAGTAGTAGTAGTAGCAGCAGCAGCAGCAGTAGTAGTAGTCGTAGTAGTAGGATAGTAGTCGTAGTAGTAGGAGTAGTTGCAGCAGTAATTGGCAGTAGCGGCAGTGGCAGTAGGTACGTGCAGGGTCCAATCAAGATTGTGCCTATTACAGCTTAGCTGGCGGTGGCGAGTTTAATACTTTATTTGTAACCCTACTGCCTGAGTCTCTTGGCTTTTGCAAAAGGGTTCAGGGCGTGGGGCGCAGGCTTGGGCCTTTTCTTGCAGCATGCCTCCAGATTGGACCATCATAAACCCTAAACCTCTAAACCCTAAACCTCGCCCTAAACCCTAAACCCTAAACCCCTAAACCCTAAACCCCTAAACCCTAAACCCCTAAACCCTAAACCCTACATAATCGTGCCCAGAGATCGCAAGGACTGGTCCATTACCAACCCGCTGGCCACGACTTCACAGGTCGAAACCCTGGATGTAGAGAACCAGGCGCGGCCTCGTGGTTACTTTAACGGGTACTATATGGGTTCCTTTAAAGGGCTCTTTGAGGGTTTAGAGTTTTTAGGGTTCAGGGTTAGGGTTTAGGGTTGGGTTTAGGGTTTAGGGCCTTGTTCCAAAGGATGTAGTGTGTTAGGGACGCTAAAGATGCTGGCCTGAGCCCTGCTGTTGAGCAGCCATGGTATTTTGGGTGTTTTTGTTTGCAGCATTCGCATCTCTAGAGCTTGGCATCCAGACGGCTGTCAAAGCCTGGGGTTCATTTCGCTGAATAGGTCAGCTATTTTGTCTGTGGTGCTTCGTAAGGCGTAGCGTGTAGGGATTTTAGATGGCATGATTGCTGTTCGGGGAGAGACCCTGTACAAGGAATAAATCTTCAGGTCTGGGAGTACACTGATAGGTCCAAAGACTTCTTCGCAGCATCAGGTCTGATCCGAAGTTCTTTCCCTGTTCGTCTCAAACCGGCAAAACAAGGCCTCCAAAACTCGAAAGTTGCGTGGGGACATTTCGTGCCGTTGGGGCTCACGGTGCAGGAATGGCTTGAAGCTTACACCTCCTAACTTGGTTTGCCCGCAGCCAGGCCTTCTTCGAGAAGAACGTGCAGCTTCTTAGCTCCTCCCTGGCTAACCTGGCTGAGGACTTGCCAGGGGCCAAAGGCTGCATGTGCTTGTTGGATTCCTGTGTCCCGAGATGTAGAGGGGCAGGGGGGCAGGGCTGTCGCCTGTTTCTGCGCACGTTTGCTTAATCGACATGCACCTTGACTTGATGACTTGTCCATCAAGATGGCTTTGCCATTTTTTTTTGCGAGTGAAAAGACGTGTCGTGAACTGGCTTGTCTTTGGAGGAACCGCCCTCAACATTGAACAAGAAGCACTTTGCAATCCCTGCCTCCTATGTTTCAATCGTTCTAGTCTTCAACGTCGCATCGGTGTACAAAGTCTGACCAGCTTGCTGTGGTGAGGAGCAGACGAAGATGGCCGCTCGCCACGCAATCCAAGGTGATTTCCGGAGCCAGTGTTGCACAACATGTTTTGTTAGCTGCATCGGACATGCTTCATCAACAGTTGTCACTAGGAAGCTGCGCAAAGACTAATCCAGGTGCAAAAGGCCTTGTCTCGCAGCTAGCTGCACAGAGAAGCTGCAGCAGCACGTACCGAGGCCATGTACGAGAGAAATGCCGGTCGAAAGGGTGATGACAAGGCCGCTGCAGGGCGAGAGATCGACAATGCTAGATGAGGGCAAGTTGCTTGTGCACGCATTCACTATTGTCAACAGTATCACGTAGTCCTGCATATATATATATATATATATATATACCTTCAGGATCTGACCCTGCAAGCGAGAGTTCAGAGACAAATTGGACCTCTGACTCTGCCTCATTGCAGCCCCGAAAGCGGTATTTCGAATCGTTGACACGGTCCGGGTTCAAAGGTTGCATTGCGTTGCCATGGAATTGCTTGCCCGGACTTTCATGCCGATGAGTTCGGCACATTGCTAATTGAAGATAGGGCAGCGCATTGTTTGCAAGTGCAAAGTGTTTCAAGTTGCCGCAAGTTTTTTCTACCCGCACGAGAAGATGGCAGACTGCTGCTGTTGCTGGCAGTTTGACTCCAGCCGCGCCCACCATGAGGAAGTTTTGGTCGTTTGGGTCGGTACTGATGACGCGAGCACCCCGAGCTGCAACGCAACGGATGTTGGGAAGGCTTCTGATCTCTCCGGCAACTTTTCGGGCTGCCGCGAGTTCTGGTCCAGCCAGTCCTGACCTTCCCAGCGGCAGCACGAGTTGTGTGAAGACTCGCCCCGAGCTCGGCATGGCAGACTTTTCCGGTGAACGAGGGCTCTACCATTCGGGTGACACGCTGACAGAAGTGCAGGAGAAGAACAAACAGCTGCGATCCTTTCTGCAGACGCTTTCGTGGCCCAGGTTGACTGGTTTCAAAGCCCATGGAAAACTGTTTCAGTTGCCCGTCTCCCTGAAGGAGTCATCTCCTTCAGAGTTGCTTGATCCCAAGAGACTTAGTTACCTAGCGGGCTTCTTTGACGGAGACGGTTGCGTTTCTTTTCAAAGAAACTTGTCTGGATGTACCCTCAAAGTTGATCAGTCTTTCGTCCAGCCCGAGATCCTACTACTCTTCCGCGACATGTTTGGTGGTAGCATCTCGCGCGGAGGTGATGGAAAAGGCCTCAGAAGGCCGTTACTTTCCTGGCAAGTATACGGCAGCCTGGCTCGTCACGCGGCACACCTTCTCTCCACGCACAGCATCCTCAAGAAGAGGCAGCTGTTGCTGGCTGCTGCATGGCCAGATGAGCAGGCAGACAGACAGGTTGCCAACGTCGAGCTGCGGTCTTTGAAGCAATATGACTCTGCTGTGGTTGGGACATGTAGCCTGGAGTACATCACAGGTTTCTTTGATGCGGAAGGATATGTGGGGCAAAGGGGTCACACGTCACTTTTTCTTCAGTTGGGTCAAAAGCATTCCACCGTCCTTCACTGTTTGCAGGGCTTCCTTCAGAGCGAGTTCCGGGTGAATGCGCCGGTTCGATTTTACCAGAGTCTGTACATGATGGACATCTCGGGCACATCGACCTGCAAGTTTCTTTTGCATGAGATGTTACGGGCCGGATTGATCTGCAAGGCCCAGCAGGCAGAAGCTGCAATCGGGCTGACTCTTGACAATTGCGATGACACCCGTGCTGCACTTGCAAGGATGGTGGGCAACCAACGGTTCGGTCAGAAATTGGACAAATCTGGTGTCGGGAGAGCTTTCAAGATCAAGTGTCTGCAGAGCCGGGCTGGAAGCCTGCTGCGGCAAGGAGAGGTGAAGGAAGCCGAAGCGATTCTGCAGGAAGTCGCCGGTTTAAAGGAAGATCATCAGTTGCTGAATGCACAGCGGGAGAACCAGGAGCTGCTGCAGTACATAGACTGGGTACAAGGATTGCAAGGAAACTTCTGGCAAGTTACCGACAACTACATGTGATCATCTCGCGAAAAGGCAGTGTCTGCCCAAGAGAAGATGCCCACAACCGGCGGCCTAAGTCCAACGACTGCGTGACATCTTTTGTTCGGAAAGGTGGCCTCACTCGTCCAGCTACCAAATTGCACGGCCTTTGCTAAGCCCTGCAACGTCCTTCGCCCCAGACAGGATTGAAAAGAACTGGGATACCCCAAGAGTCTACTGGCAATATGACTGTGATACTTAAACCGCAGCCCAAGGACACCAGCCTCAAGGCCTTGCCCCGCTCATTTTATGTTTCCTTTGCATGCCAGGGCAAGGGCAAGGGCTACCGAACTCAGCAGCCGCAGCCCTTGGACACCATGGTCCTCAGCAAGCAGATTCAGAACTACTGCAAGGCCCTCCGGGCCAGGGGGTTGGGGGATTGCAACCCCACAGTGGGCTTGGGCGTGGGGAGCCTGTAGGATTCTGCTTAGTTTTCACCGAACTGCCATACCTGTATTACACGAAGCTGTTCGAGATCACTGCGATGGAATGGTGTGCTTTGTGTGCCTGCCAGGCCATCAACAACTATGCAGGAGATGCCTTCAGCAAGGCCCTGCTTGTCTGCTTTGTGAGGGCAGTTCTGATGCAAGGCTTGTCAATGCGGCATCTGCACCTGCAGCCGGAAGACTCTACATACTTACAGCCCAAACCCCAATGTTTTATGGACACCTTCAGAGCTCTAAGGATCCTTAAGCCTGATACACCCTATACAACATACCCCAAGCCCTAATCCCGAAACCCCAATTCCGTGGTCAGGTCTACCTCGTCTCCAACAAGCCGAAAGCGGCGAGTTGAGTCGTCTCGAATCTGCCCGGGGAAAACCCGCGAAAAAGAGGCTCAAGAAGCCCTCAGTCTGTCTCCTCAAGTTCCCGACCCGCCTCCCGGGGCTTACAGGGCTTCGGATGGCGCAGACGCCCTCGTAATTCCCCATGATAGTTCCCAAATCTCATACCATGGTGAGCCCTAGAAGCAGCAAAAGACCTGTAGAGTTGTAAGCCTAGAAAGCCAAGAACCCTAGGATCCCCGAAGATCCCGAAACACGAACTGGAGACCGACACTTAAGGCGTCCGCGGCCGAGCGAGGACGACAGGGCCACCTGCATCCCTGTGCTAAGCTCCTCGTTTCGCTTCGTAGTTGCGCTGGCACGCTGGAAGAGCTAAGAGTATAAGGAGAGATCGAGCCTCAGAGCACTTCGGGGCCCCTTAGGGCATGTTGGGGCTTTGGGGTCCCAGGTTGTAGGGTTAGGGGAGTTCGGGTCGCATGACGGCCGATGTCCAGATTCAGTGTTGTGCATACTTAGGCGCTTCTGCGAGGCACGTTGGGAATACTACGAAACAGCATGACACAGCAGGAATGTGCAAGGGTGTCTCGGTCTACAATCCTTGCAGCTGCCGAACGTTATGAACATCAATGCTAAGAGGCTGCTTCAGCTTCAGAGGTCGAAAACAACACGCACATAAATACCTACATACGTACAGTTTAAGCTAGACGCTAGACCTTTCCACCCAGCGTGTCATTGATGGGGATGTCTTGGAGTGCCACAGCCACGTCGCCTGGGCCTTCCGCGAGAAAAGAAGTGCTGCACCCTGGCTTCGGGCGAAGGGCCCACTCAGTGGCATTGAGTGTTCGGGAAGTAAGCCACAAAAATCTCAGCGACTTGTAGCTTTTACCCGGACACCCTGGGCCAGATCAGGCGTGAGTTTGAAATCCTGAGCCCCCAGCTCAGAAGCACTGATCTGCTTCCTCATAAGCCCGAGAGGCCGTAAACCCTCAAACCCGAGATCCTAGTCCGAAAATCGAAGACGTATCAGTGCGAATCGGTATGCTCAGCCGCCAAAACAGGGCCCACCAAGGGCCTTTTTGGCACAGGGTCTGCCCGCAGCCCTAAAGCGAAGAAGTTCCTTCAGAGGCACCCAACGCCCCAGATGTCAAATCTAAGGAGCCCCCCCAGCAAAAGGAAACCCGAACAATGAAAGCCCTGATTAAGTCCCATGATCCTCCAAGTAAAGCCTAAACCTAGGGTGTCCAGTTGGGCCCTCCGCCCTCACACTCATAGCTGTTGCCGAGAAGATGCAAAGCGCTTTTTCAGGAGCGAAGAGAGGCTCTCTTCAGGCTGCCACTCTGCAAAGGGCTTCTATTCCAGGGTTTGGGTTTTAGGGGTCTAGGCTTAGGGTTTATAGGGTTTAGGGGTTTAGGCTTTACGGGTTTAGAGTTTAGGCTCGTGGGCTTTGGAGTATGGGGCTTGAGGATTTTTTGCTGAGAGTGTTGCAGACTCCGGACACTAAACGGCAGATCCCAAACCTCCCTTTACAAGGACTAGGTTACAATCACCAAGGTGAGTGCAACAATGCAGACTTTATGAATTGGGTTGAGGGTCTCTGTGCCCCCCTTGCTTGCACGATGGTTTCGTTTGGGACGTGCACTTCTGCGAGGACAAGCTGTACAGCACGAGTAGAAGGCCTTTTAGCGGAAGCTGAATGTTTTGCATAGAACTCCTAAAGCTCCTGGTCCTAAGCCATATAGGTCCCAGAACTTTCAGCTTCTACGCGAAGGGTTCCGGCTCAGGCCCCGAAGCCGCTCCCTAACGAAGCAAAGCCCTTGCACCGTCGTCCTGCTGCCAGCCTCATCGATGCGGATGGAGACGGCAAAGTCTCCGAGTCTGAGTTCAAGGAGAGCTTCAGGGTTCAGGGTCGACTGACTAATATAGGGACCGAAATAAGTATCAACACTATTTGGCGGATTCCTGACTATAACTATAGTACAGTGGGTCCCAAAACACCACCTTTTCCGTTCTCAGGCCCCTAATATACGCGTGCGGAGTTCAGGATTTGGGTGTTCTGAGCAGAGGGGCTACAGCCTACAGGCCCGCATTGCCGTGCGGAGGCACGCAGTGATGGTCTTGGGCTGAGGGTTGAGACCTGGGTATTTGTACAGGGAGCCGTGTCGCATCAACGATATGCTTTTGTTTCTTGATTTTCTGTCGACGATCCCGATCCTCAGCCCCAAGCCCTATCCACACCATGAGCAATGCGCACCGCGCAGCTGCTGGTAGCCTCCATCTCGGGTGTTTTCAGGGCTAGTGTGACAGATCAGGTTCTCTCTCTGCCACTCTCTCTCTCTATGTCTCTCTGTATGGCTCTATGTCGCTCTCTGTGTCTCTCTCTCATCTCTCTCTGTCCTTCTCTCGAGTCTGCAAATCTTGTAAGACTTCCACCGGAGCAAGTCGGAAGCTTGCGGTCTAGAGCATGTGTTCTACACTAAGTGGGATCTGCAGGACATCTTCAAGCAGAAGTTCATCTGTGTGACCGGCATCTCCATCACAGATGTCCTTCAGGCTTGCAGATAGCCCCGAAACCAACCCAAAAGCCCTGCATACCATATGCTCCAAATTGCAAACTCCAGCACTAAACAGCCTCAACCCAGGCCATGCATTTAAGTGCGTAGAGTCTGAGTGAATCCGACTGTTCAGGTTCAGCTTTTTGACAAGATCTTCTTCCCGGACGCAGATTTCCAACCCCGACCTCAAACAATCGGTTTTGGGTGTACTGAATCGGCGTTTGTCTGCTTTTGGCTTCAGATCTTGGCCGTTTTGGAGTGTATGTAGCGCTAGCCTACTTTTCTATATTTCCAGATCCTCACCATAAAACAACTTGAAGATCATGGGACTAAGTAACTAGGGTTCTAATTAATTAGGGTAACGAAACTTATAACCCCAGTTAGGGTTCTTATAGCCAACCTTACTAAGTCCCATGATCCTCCAGGAAGGTGTCCTGAAGCAGAGGTTAGGGTGTGACCTTTGGTAAGGCCCCCTGGGCCTCCTTGTCCAGGTGTCGAACAGCAAGACTATGGGCAAAATTGAGCCGGAGGAGGCATCGGGATTTTTGAGGGCTTTCGGAAGGGTCCACACGGCTTCATTGGGGGGTCTGTAGCGGTGTAGGGTTTCCAGTTGAGGCTCCTCCACAGTAATTAAGAGGCTTTTGGTTGGTATGTGTTAGCTTATTCCTTTTGCGGGGTTATTGTTTCTTCAACAGGGATCTGCAACAAGTGTATTTGTTGCTGCCTACCTGCTACAAGGAATAACTGTATTTTGAGACTTGATTGCAAGCTACTTTGATTTCATTCCTCTGGGTGATTTGGGGTTGGCGGGCTTTCTGGTGCGCGGCTATTGTATGGAGCCGTGCTTCACGGGGATTACAGGGTGCTTTTGTGGTGATTTCTAAGGCTTCGAGTCTACTACACCGATCACTGGGACTAGTAAGTGGTGTCCTAAGTGGATAAGCTCAGCCTTCACAGTCACAAGCAAGTACCAAAGCTGGCAACATCTTGCATGGGAAGAGGCTTGACTTGCCTGCATGGCTCCTCCGGCTACCAGAGTGGCCCACGGAGGACCACTGCAAGTCGCGCGTCAAGGAAAAAAGGGCCTACGACGTACCTACGAAATCCGAAGCCTCCAGGACCCGCGACTGCATGCCGGGACTCTACCCTGGGCCTGGGCATAGCTTGCCGCTCTAAGCAGCAAGGCTTAAGACCTAAGATCCCCTTGTCGGTCCGTAGTGTTTTTATCCTCGAAGCCCCAAACCTTGAGCGCGCTCTGTTCGAAGGTCCTCGACGCCCTTGGCCCGGTGACCAAAGATGAGGCGACCGGCATGGAGCGAGTGGAGGCCGCAAGAGCTGAGGGTTTTGCTAAGGTTTAGGGGTTTAGGGTTTAGGGGGTTAGGGTTTGGGGGTTTAGGGTTGAGGGGTTTAGGGGTTTAGGGGTTGAGGCTTGGGTACTGGAGGCTTGAGGTTTCGTTCAGAAGAACAGGCGGATGGGTCAGCTGTGTATCGAAAAACCTGCAAATCCGAACGCCAGCGTTCTGGAATTTTGGAAATCAATTCTCGCTGAGCTTGAGGTCATGCTAGGCTGCTGGGCAAGAACCTGAAAGAGTCAGTGGGTTTTTGTGAGCATGGAGTAGGCCGCGGAGATTGCAGTCCTCCCG